AAATATTTCCTTTCCGGGGTGCAGCAGCAGGCTTCATTTCCTTGCCTTTCCTGCGTTCTGAAAAATCTCTGAATGCAGCAAGATTTTCCTGATTAATTGAGAAAATTTCCTTTATTGCCTCTAAAAAAATCTGGAAAATATCCCTTATAAATTTCTTCTCATCGGCAAAGGAATAAAATCAGAACTTATTTCCTTCCAATTTTTTTCTCCATCTCCCGCAAAGAAAATAAAATCAGAACTTGATTTCTCTTCCAATTTTCTTCTTCGCAATAAAATCGGAACTTAATTTTTTTCCAATTTTCTTCCGCAGCAAAGAAATGAAATCGGAGCTTCCAATTTTCGCCTCCGCTCCAGGCTGACATCGAACCTTCCTTTTTTGCTTGTAGCGACTTCGACTGGCACCAAAACCTCTCGTCAAATCGAAGCCAGTCCGAACAGTCGAAGCAAAAGCAGTGATTCCTCTGTCGCGATCACGAATGTCGTGATTCCTCTGTCAATCTCGTTGATGCCTTCTTGCTCCTCTGCCGATCTCGTTGACGCCTTCTTGCGCCGACTCTTCTGAAGCTTCGTCGACGCCTTCTTGCGCCGACTCTTCCAAAGCTTCGTCGAACTACTGTCTGCGGGCACCTGGTGTCGCACTTGAAGCCTTCGCGGAAAAGCCCTCGTCTTCCTGTCGAACCTTCCAACACCCAAATCCGAACTGTCGTGAACCTTGTCGAAATCCTTCCATAGCCGCCAACCTCCTCTGCTAAAATCTTCTTTATTTCTGCGCCGCCCAAATTTTTCTTCTCTGCCCTCGAATCTTACTATGATACCACTTGTTGAGAAATTAGGGCGAGGAAAAATAAGAATCGACACAAATCCACAAGAACACACAGAGATTTACGTGGTTCGGCAAAAATGCCTACATCATCGGGAGCAGAACGACGACTTCCTTCTCAATATTGAAAAAGGAGTACAGAATACAAGATTCAGAATCTCGCGGTCTCAGAGACTCCCCTAGGATTATAAACGCGACATATATATAATCATATAATACAATATGTAATTACTTAAATTACCCCCCCCCCCCGCGCCCGCGGA